AGGATCTTTCTCCGGGGTGGATTGAATTTTTTCAAATGGAGAAAATAAGGGGAGAGATAGAGAGAGAAGAATAATTACTCGTATTCCGGTACGTATCGATTTCTCGCCAGACGTTCCTCCTCTTGCTGTCGGTATTGCGAAGCCAGACGATGGTCGCTTTTGCTTCTCATGAGGCCAGGTGATCCACCGGGAGGTGCTAGACTGCTCGAGCTACCCAGCAATCCTCCGCTTCCGGTCTCCGGCTTAATATTCAGCTCGCCGTAACCAGCTACATGGAGGACCAGCTGGTTCGGATCGTGAGCCATCACGAAACGCACCCGCCTACTGTAATCCCCTGCTTCGTACTCGAAGTTCCTGCAACCGTAGAGAAGTAAAGGAGGTTAGATCATAAATTAGCGGTGGCGTAACGAAATTTTTACCTCTATCGGCGAGTTACCATCGTTACGTTCACCCACGGACTTTTCCGGATTCGAAGGGAACCTTCGCGTTTAACGATGCAACTTCTCTCCCGGCGTTTTTTCTTTCCCTCTTTTCTTTTCTCAACCAACGAAGGAAATTCTTGTCAAATGACTTGTTAATCTTCGCGGGAACACCGTCTTCGGTACAGAATTTGTGTTTGTTTTTTTTTTGTAGATTTAAACGAAACTTTAATTAAATGGAAAAATTGGGAACGTCCCCGTTTCATTTCGGTATTTAATTGAAGGAAGAAAAAAATATAAAATTCGGCCAATATCAATTTGCACGCTTAATTAGACAGATGGGGAATTCGTTGAAAAATTTCAACTGGCGAGGGAACTCGTGTAATTTGTTCGTTTAATTAAAATTGACAGGAATCTGTCAACGGTGCAGTTCGACTGGATTTCAACCCTTAAACAGTTACTCCCCTCTTTGTAAGAAAAAAATGGTACAGCCTTTGCATTTTATATCAACAAGCTCGTCCCCGCGTTCTTGTCCTCTCCCTTGTACAGTTTTTCGTCATGTTTATCGCGGTACCGTGGAGAGATTCTTACGTGCCTTCTCCTTGGCTCTGGCTTTCTTCTTTCCACGGTTATTCGGTAATCTTTCTCCTCTCCCCCTCGCGAGAATAATAACCACGGCAAAGGCCGAAACGAAGAGGGGACTGTTTAAAGGTGGAGAGAGAGAGAGAGAGAGAGACGGTTAGTATGCTGGCGTGTCGCGCGAGGCAAAAGTGGAAGGGTAACCGAAATTTCGACAAGCTCGGGATGAAAGGCTCGATTTACATTATACGATGGATCGAGTGCAGAAGTTGACTCGAGTCACCTCGCTCGTACCCACGTCCATCTATATCGCGATGGAAAGTTTCACGGGATATCGGAGAAGTAAGTGAACTTTTGCTTATTTTTCGACCGCTTGTAGAAGTAGAAAATGATTTTTGATCATTTTAGAGAAAAGTGAGGGTTCTGTTATGAGACAGCGTGTTCAATTTTGAGAAGAAAGTACGTAGTGATTATGTCAGTTCCACGAGATTTGATCATTTTACGGTAATCTCTAAATTGCCTGGTTAAAAATAGAGTGGATGTTACTGCGATTAGTCTTAATTTAGAGTCTCGAAAGTAGCCTGCTGCTTGATGCTTGCTTCGAAGACTAATAAATACCGAGTTTACTACCAGCTGGCGAGTTTTTCAATTTTCCACGAATGCAGGATAGAAATTGTGATAGAAAAATAGAAAATCACGATTTATCGCTGATTCTCTTGGAAAATGACGTATCACTGTCCTAACACGGCCACTTTCGTTTCGTCGAAATTTAGGAAACAGGGGTGGCACGAAATTTCGTTATTCCTAATTGAACGGTGCGAGAGTGACTCAGAGTGTGTTTTGCTGGGAGAAAGATAGAGGGAGAAAGGTGATCATAATTTTAGCAGAAGCGTGGACCACTTGGACGGTGAACTTGACGCTCGATAAAGCAAGAAAAGCGAAATACGCGAGGAGGAAATTGCCTTTCCACGGATCAAATTCAACGTACTTTATATTTCAAGGGGATCGTTATTCCCTGGGGAGTCTACGATGTATTTTCTAGGGATCCGGATTCCCTGTAGATTTTTAAACGAATTCCCAAGTCTTTTTCCCTCCTTCAAATCGAATCTAGCCTCCTCTATCCCTTCGCTCGCGATGCAATTAAAATTCAATTGTAACGTAATCTAATCGACTCTATCTTTCATTAGCTCTACGAAATTTAATCGTATCAGTTACAAGGGAGATTCCTCGAAGGAGGGAAGCCTGGTGTCTCTCCTCTCTTTGACTCGACAAATTTTAATCTCAATCTCCCGAACAAGACGAACGAACGAACGAACGAACGAAGAGCCACGCGTCTTGGAAAGATAAGATATATCGTAGGAGAAATCCGTTTTCATGCTTGCTAGCCGCAAAAGCCGGCGCTTAACTCGACGATGAATAACGTCGGAGAATGAGAAAAGATGAAATTGTTCGGTTGAGAAGAGAGAAGAGGTATGAAAAATGAAGGAACGCGGAGTCGAACGATCGATCGTTACACGTGTAACCGCGGAACGGTGAAACCGGTTAGGAGGATTAGGACGGGGTGTGACAAACCTGATGAATTCCACCGTACGCAGGAAGAGCTCTTTTGTGTCGAGGAGCTCCGAATCGTCCCACGGTACGTTCTCGTTGATGTGAGCCTCGGCCAGATCGCAGTTACTCTGGATATTCGCGATCTCCAATTCGAGATTCTCTTTGAGCTGAATCAGGCCTCTGAGCTCGGTGCTCAGGTATCGATCGACCTCGTTACGCAGATGTTCCGTACGGTCTTTCAAAGCCTTGCTCAGCCTCCGATAAATCTCGTCCACCTCTTCCGCGACCGAGGCGCAGTTTGTTTGCAGACCCAACGTGTTTTTCTCCACCAAAGCGAGCGCGTCCTGCAACCTGTGCAGTCCTCTGCGTATCTGCAAAGAGGATTATCGTTGAATCGATCTGCGGAATCACCTAGGGGAAAGACACGTTCAATATTAATTACTATGGAAAATTTCACATCTTTTTTATTTTTCCTATAGAGAAATATTACGAGGAAAGGGTGGAATTTGTACGGTTTATAGAAACGAACGTAGTCTTCTTTGATCTCTCTTTTGATTCGACTCTTTTGACGGATGATGAAATCGCGATAGGGGTGAGTTTGACGTCTCTTTTGCAAATTTCACAGCTTAGAGGCAGAAATTCGCGACGGGGAGGCGTTTGTTTTCGGATACATTAGGGGCGAGCAAATATACCGGGCTGGTTATTTTTGGATATGCACGTACATAGCGCGTAGTTGGACGTACGCGGTTATGTTGACCTGAATTCGCGGTATTCATCCCCGGCTGTGGATTGAATCGTTTGATACGCGGCTTGATTTCAATATTTCCGGGTCTATTTAAAATTTCACCACCACTCCGGCGTCCGTGTAATCGCCGAGGTATCGCTTTTGTCGTAATTCCCACCACTCTCCAGACAAACGCGTACAGAAGTCTCTCGTTAGGTTCGACATTGTTTCGCCGTATAATACTGTAGAATGCAAATCGTCTTGAAGTTGGAGCGTGCCGGGTAAAATCGCTCTGTTTCGCGATTGTTTCGTATAACCTGAAACCGTTATCGAACACCATGTGGTCGTGTTCGTAAATGTTTCATCTTAAATCCGGCAAGAAATAGCCCGAAACATGGGTGGTACATTCTCAATCCGACTGAAATATTGATCGACATGTTGTCCAGTTCCTCGAATACGTTGAAATTATAAAAGAAAAATGGAGTGAGAAGAAGAGAAACTCTCTCTCGTTGCATATTGTATCGTAAGAGGACAAGGAATAACCTCGTTTACTTCTCCCTTCCTCTGTTTCGTTGCAGAAATTTCCCGTTGAATTTCGTCGAGGGTTTCCTGAGATTGCATAATGAGTACCGTACCATTCACGGTTCTCCGCCGTTACAAATCGATGATCAGGTATACACGGCTTTCCTCTTTATTTCTCAAAGAAATATTCTTACCGCGGCGCGCTCGTTTACTCTCGCCGGGTCGTATGAAATATTGAACAGAGCGTGCCATTTCTCGATGGGAGAATCCCAGCCGCTCTCTGTACATTTTTATTAACGCCGCGACAATATCGTGATTCCGTGAAAATCTTCGATAACTTTCAAATATAATCCGTTCAAATGGAATATATATACATATGTACCAAAGAGAGAAGAAAATAAAGAGATTGTACGCTAACGACGGACGTTTCTTTCACAGTTGAACGAGGTTGCGCAGGAATGGGCAGTCAGTTTGTTAAAGAGAGGCGTTCTCGAGTATAAATCGGATCCAGAATACGGTGAAAATATATATTTAAGCTTGCCGCGTGTCCTTGCTCACGAGATCAAGCCGGAAGATCCTTTGGAAGATTGGTTAGTCTTTAAAGATATTCTTGAAGGGGTATTTGGACGAAACGATTAAACGAGCAACTCGTTGAATTTAATTGACCCTCCTCAGGTATAGAGAAGGCAGGTACTTCAAGTACGGAGTGGAGGAGGTTAAAGGTTTAGAAGGAGTGCGCCATTTCACTCAACTGGTATGGAAAGACACGAAATTAATAGGACTTGGATTGGCGAAAGATATCGACGAGGAGAGAGCTTTCTTCGTCTGTGTTTATCAACCGCCTGGAAATGTCAGCGGAGAATTCGCGGAAAATGTGCTGCCAGTTCCTCAAGTAAATTTTTCCGTACGATTTCAAAACGACAATTCGCTCGAATCGTTCGACGAGTATTCGATTCACGAGGCTGTCATTTTTCTCGACGACTCGACACGTCGATTTTTTCGCAAATTTATTAGCGATCGGTGAAGAGACGAGGTTGGAAACTGAGCTGGCCAGCGAAATCAGGCCGCGTTTCAGGCCGATAGAGAAACGAATAGACGTCACACGTGAAAAACGTACGATCCGGCACGTTTTTCGAACGACTGGGGCAAATCGGCTAGAACGATCTTGAATTTCAGGCACGACCGCTCTCTCTCTCTTCCGTCTCTGCTTCATGAGCAATATCCATGGGCTGTCGATGTCCGATCGCAGAGACTCTGTTCCGTCTCAAAGGCGATTGCGCGAATGGTTTATTCTCGACTGGAAATAGTCGTGAATCATCCTTGTTTCAGTCGTTTCCTGGCGCACCGAGGATTTGCATTGATCTACGATTTAACGTGCACCTTTGTTCCCCTTTTCTTATTAACTACATCGACCCTTTAACGGTATATCAAATGCGAGAAAACGTGGTTCAAAATCTACTCGTTTTTTCGCAATCGAAGCTGTCCTCTTCGTTTAACAAGTTAAAGGGTTAATCATCGAAGCCTCGTTATTAATCTTCGTCAACACTCAGTCACAGTCCCTTTAATCGCCGGTAAATTATGATCAAGAAACGAATCGAAACTAAAGCGAGTAAAGGGTTAAGGAACCCGTTCGACCGTGAAATCGTTTCTCTCGCCTTGGCGAGCCAATATTTCCCCGTCTTTCTTTTCTCTTTGTCGCCGGCGGGGGGAAAAAAAAGAAGAAGAAAGAAAGAAAGAAAGAAAGATTTTGTTCGCTCCCTCTAAACGTGTCGTCGGGCAAAAATAGATTTTCCAGCGTGAAGAAGGGACGCGATAGAGAATCGGCTGTTTGTGGTCTCGAAAGTTTCCATAGATATTGTACGACAGCGTAGGGTGCGAATATTCGTGAAAGGATCGTGAAGGTGAGCATACCTGGGAATTGATGCGCGTGATCTCACGCCTTAGAATGTCCATGTGAGCGTCCTTGCATTCAGGGCAACACTTTTTCTCACAGTGGACACAGAGGGAACAGTAGCTTTTCTCCGAGCAAACGCCGCAACGTTCCATTGTCTGGCCGCTGGTCGGGTCAGGCAATTCTCCCGTGATCTCGATGTGCAATTCCAGGAATCGTTGCAGGGTGACGTTGGTAGGGAACGCCTGAACTCCCTGTCGATAACACGAAAACGATAGTTAAGAGTGTATCTCCTGTCAATTGAATAACCACGATTCTCTTCATTTTTCGGATGGTCCGTAGAGGAGAGGAGTAAAAGTGGGTGCATAACTTTTCATCAAAGTTGAAACGGTTTTGGTATACGTATATATTGTACATTCGAGCTTTTACTTGAAATTGAATTTCATCGTCGTGGAAATCGCGTTTCGTTTGACTTTTAGAAAGTAAAAGAAGAAGAAATTATTCCATCTTTTTTAGTTTATTTACCGTTGGTTCGGTTGTCGGCGTGACATGCTTTAATTAAGCTCGACCGAGTTACGTGTGATGTGGAACGCTCGCGCTTTCAAGGGGAGGGAAAAGTAAGACAAATGGTCCGCGAGAGGTGTCACTATGAAACGCAAGGCTTCGTCCAATTTCACGAGGGATCGCTGTGGATTCGTCGTTGAATAAAGATGAGGCGGACGCGTTATACTCGGTTTAACGAAACCTTTTCTTTCCAATGCATTTCATTTTCAAGAACGTACACACACTCTTTTCTATACCTTTTGAAGATTCACGGTTGACGTCAGCAACGGTGGTATCGCGACGTGGTGCTGCAAGGCAAATGTTAATTCTCAGAAGTCAAACAGAAAGTATAACGTAACCTTTATAATTACTTTTCTTCCCCGTGAACTTTTTCACCGACGACGAAACTCGCGAACCCTTCTCGAGGACCTCGGACGAACGGCGAACGCGTTTAAAGAAGTAATAACTTTGCAAGAGTGTGGAAAGTTGGGAAGACGCGGGGGGGAAGGCACGGTTCGGTCCAATATTCCCGCGTAATCGTCGAAAAAGTTTGCCCGTTAACGCCTCGGGAGAATTGATTGCCCACCTGGTAGGGTATACGATGTTCCGCACGGCATTCCGGACATTTCACCTGTCGACGCACGTAGTCGACCAGGCCATCCATGCACGGCTCCATGCAGAAGCTGTGCTGGCATGGCAGTAGCTTTGGGTTCCTGTAGCGGTCCAGGCATATCGCGCACGTTAGCAGTTGCTCGAACTGCTCCATGCCTGCAAAACAGCGAAAGAAACGTTATTTTTCTTACGATCAATTTTTTCTATCGTCAATTATCGCGATATGCCCCTTTCTACGTAGTTTTAAGAGACACTAGAGCAGGGCTAGGTTTGACAGGGACAGAAACCAGGGTCATTGCCGAAAATCCACTGTGTCTTTGACCATTTTAGTGGAAAAACCGTGAAACAGCGTGTGCCTATGTTGGGAGAGAAAGAAGAGTTTTTCTTGCAAATGAAAAGAGTCTTCATTTTATATTCGTCAGATTTTTATCACACCCACTCGTAATCTGTCAATCGTCATTTGTCACAAAGCTTCGCTATAAACTATCCTATAAAAAGAAATATCTAAACCAATTAAAATTCCACGTTACTTGGATTTACCGGATTTCACAACTGACACAATTCTTCGAGCAACACTTGTCACACCGAAACCATCTGGAACGTATGAAATCTAGAAGTGTCTTTCTGTCGAAACGAATTCATTTCGGCCCCCCTCGCGTCACAGGTCTGACCAATTTCCTACAAAACATCCGCAAGCCTTACGCCACTCGCTGAAACCACCAAGTCATCCTCGTCACAGCTAAGAAATAGTTGAAACGTGAAATACCCAGCCTGTTGCAATTCGAGATCGTCATTGTGCCAAGTCGTTATTCACCTTGTCGCGCGTTTATTCAAAAGATATTACACTCCTCGGTGCGATATTTCCCACCCTCCTCCGTTCAACCACCGTTTTCGACCAGAAGAAAAATCATTACTGCCTCCTCTCGCTCGTCCTTCCCTTTAAATCTTCCCTCGCCAACCTCAGCTTTCGCTCTATATAGAGTATGATACACGGCTGTATCGCGGCCAACGAGACAATGTCAAGTTCTTTTCGCGGAGTCATTGCTCTTCTTTCTATTTCGAGAAGCTGTGCATCATCGACGCGAGAGATGGGCGAACCCTGAGGGTGTCCCTGCGAATTTCTCGCGTTGTAAATTCGCCCTAACGACAACTACGAGCCTTGCAATTAAACGAACACTCGACTGAGACGTCGCTGTTCCTCGTTGGTCGAAAACACTTTGCTAGATTTAACGTTCGAATCACAGACGTAGTTTGTATGGAATTTTGCAGAAAGGATCGAAAGTGTGTTTGTAAGATCGTCTACGTGGAATATATACGAATGTTGAGATCGTAACGTTAGAATGTGTTCATCTGCATCTCGAATTGTGCGACGCAATCGCGACTCGAGCCAAGCAAAATAACCCGGTTGAATTTCCGTTCAGCTTGATCGGGAACGAGTTTCGTCTGGCTTGCAGATTTTTCAATAACAACCTACCCTATTAATACCCCTGGATATTTTCACTCGTGACATTTCTCTATTAATATTCGAGTAATATTTCTCTGTGTACAATAACCCGAGGACATTGATTTCTCCTAGTTTTACAATCTAAGCTCCCTGAACATTTAAAGAAAAATTTTCGAAAGATCGAACGTTTGCAATTTCAATTCTCAAACTTTTTACTATTCCTTTCCATTTAACCCGAGGACATTGATTTCTCCTAATTTTACAATTTAACTTCCCTTAACATTCTAAAAACAATTGGGAAAATGTAAATACTTGATAACAGTTATCAACAATTTTCCAGAAATCGAACGTTTGCAATTTCAATTCTGAAACCTCACTGTTCCCCTAATTTTTCACGAAGCATTAACGAGCTCGTAAATCACCACACCTAACGTTCGATTTTATCTCGAATCACGCGGTAGAATTCCCCGTCTGCTCCGGTCTGACGTAGACTCATTTTTCGATCGAGCCTCGAAAGACATCGATGAAGATGCTGGCGGGTTAAATTTAAAATCCGGCAACACGCGCGGGTAGAATCCACGACGAAGTATCGGGCGAAAAAGAGAGAGAGCGAGAGAGAGATTATTTCAAAGCGTAGGTCGAGCCAAATCCATTCTGGCTTTCGCAACTCCGGGATACGTAGATCTAAAAGACGAGCGAAGGCCGTGCCAAGGACCAATCAGCTAGCTGAGAGAAGTCGCCGCAGCGGAAGCAAGCGGCACATTAGAAACCATTGTTACTCTTAGACGAACCACTTGTTGATCTTAAAGCGAATCCGAGGGTGCAACAGGCGGGAGCAGGGTGCTATTGTATTAGCAGCCTAGCTAGCCAGAATGTTAATCCTGACACCTAGCCGGAAGCTCCGTGCCTTAACCAGCTTCCGTGGATTTCCATTTATTTCGATACCGCTCTTGTCACGATACGTCGCTTCTCTACTTTCTCGACGTGAGTAATACCGATCACGCCGAGAGATTAAGCAGGTGCGAGGTGGGAACTCTTAATTATCCCTCGAATGAATAACGAAGAATATTTGGAGACTTATAGTTGGTGTAACGTGAAATATTTGACGGAATACCTAATTCTGTCAAACGGTAAGAAACAATGTTAACACGGCGTAGAATGAATAGTCAGGCGGTGTCACGAGTAAGACAGGAAAGACTTATCTAAAGATCGTGGAAATATTTGGCCAGGAATCAGAGCATCGATTCATCCGTTTCGTCGCTTTTGTTTTCGTTAAATGAGAATTCCACTGTTCCTTGGAATCGGTATTTTTGGCAAGGATATTTGTTTAGGAGGGAACGATTGGATTGTTCTCCGTCACGGGAAAATTCGCTGAAAAATTCAGCCGTTGGAGGAACACGGGAATCGATTTGCGTATCTTCTATAACAACGAAGGAGAAGAAGAAGAAGAAGAAGAAGAAGAAGAAGAAGAAGAAGAAGAAGAAGAAGAAGAAGAAGAAGAAGAAGAAGAAGAAGAAGAAGAAGAAGAAGAAGAAGAAGAAGAAGAAGAAGAAGAAGAAGAAGAAGAAGAAGAAGAAGAAGAAGAAGAAGAGAAGTTTCCAATAACAACGGAAGCTGTTGGTTCCTCCGGACCTCCCGCTTTTCTTCCTCTCTAATTGTTTCCCCCGAAGGTCGAGAGAGTCTTTTTTTAAAGGGACCCGCGGAGAGTACAAAGACGCGGAGTTGTTTGAATTCTCGTGGGTGACGTGTTTCGAAAGATGCACGTGGCGCGTTATTATTTTCGCGCCAACCGATCGAATGGCGTCGCGGGCTCTGATTCAGCTCTTTCCTTTGTCTCTTTGAAATCCACACGAAAATTGTGGGCGTCGTTTCAACACGCCGTCCAAAATTCTCGTTTCCTCGCTGCCGTTTCATCCCGGTCCATTGGCGCTGCGCGAAACGCGATATTTCTGCCTTATTTCCACGATTCCTTGAACCCCGATGCGGTTTATTTGTCAACCCTGACAAATTCCTTCGAATTTCTCACCAACGGAACATCGATCGTCGATATAAACCTTTGAAAATTGAATTTTCTCCAGTTTCTTTTCGCCGCGAATTTATATCGCCTGTTCTAGTGGATTTCCGTCCACGTTTAATAAAACATCGCGACGATTCTTGAAAAATGACAGTCATTTTAGGGAGAATCAAAAATTCGATCTATCCCGTATTCTTTGCGTTGCATACGTACCCAGAGAATTATATATTAAACTCTCTGCCTCTTCCCTGCGCAGCTTCAAAGCGTCGGCATAAAACAAATCGCAGTCCCTTTCTCTCGAACAGAACGAAAAAAATAGAAGGAAGGGCGGGGGAGAGAAAAAGACGAGTAAAAAGGTAGAAAGTCTCTGTTATCGAGGAAACTCCTTGGCGGTGGTGTGGCTCGGGGAAGAAACTTTTTCTCGAGGAGGTTTTTCCTCTCTCCTTGGAACGGGAGGAAGTTTAAAAACGTGCACAAAATGCTGAATTCACACGCGACACACTCTTATCGACGACGACGTGTTTATCGATCCATCTGTGAACGCGACGATTCTCTTCCTTTTTTTCCCTCTCTTCTCGGGGCAGGAAGAAGCGTCTAATGAAAATTCACCGAAACGATCGAACGGAAAGAAACAAAAACAAAACGAACTTGTTCACGAATTGCGCTCCGCGAGAATACCGAGAGCAGACGGATCAGCGTGGTTCTGGAATCGGTCGGTCCAGGGTATACTGACACTTTTCGACGTCAGTGGCCAGACTTACGCTAGCAAGGCGGTGTGCTATACTTAGACGGAGACCTTCGATTTCCGGCGGCTCGTTTTCGACGAAAGATCCACGGGAGAAACACACAGGGGGAGGAACTTTGGATATTTCGTTGGACTCGCGCGCGTGTAGACGAGGATCACTTAACTGAAACTCGTACTGGCCGAGCAGACGAAAATTCGGTTTCGATTGCGAGACAGTGGAAAATAGAGGGAGAGAGAGGGATGCTCGAGTGAAAAAAAGACAGAAGGGACCTTGGTGTAAATTTAACGCGTCTTTGGAATCGTCTTTTTCCTCTGCTCTTCTCGGTTCTCAGTGTCGCTTTAACCCTTTGAGCGTGCGAACACCAACTACCGATATCGTTGCACACGGTGCAATTGGATTTGTTATTTAAACATTTCGTTTCGAAGCTGAAATTTTCCAATTTTCGAACTTTCTCTCGGTTCCTCTGAGCTGTAAAAAATTCACGTCGATCATTTCTATCGATCGCTGTGCGTAAATTAGAAAGACTACGTTGTACGGTGGAATGTGAAATCCGAAGGACACGGTTGGACGAAATGATCTCCGTAGTAGAGGAAGGAAGCTTTCAATTTGGTTCATCGGTCGGTATTAATTCACGGATCGAAGTCGTTGTCAACAGCGGAGGGCAAAATTCCCTGGTCGAATGTCGTTCAAATTAATGTCGTTCAATAAATTGCCCGCGACAATGCCGGATTTGATTTCTAATTTCCAATTGTCCGTTTTGTAGTTGGGGATTGACGAGACCGGCGTAACGAGCGCCATTTAATAAAGCCTTCTGTTTAACGCCAGCATTAATATGCATTTTGTCGTTTCACCGGGATCGATGGAAATTCCTATTCAATTTCCTGCCCGCACACACTCTACTCTCTCTTGCTCTTTCGCCCATCGAAAATCAATAGAACGAACGGTGAAAGTG